CTTCAAGCCTTTGATAGCCGGGCACCATCAGCTTTCTTCACCACATTTGCTTATACACCTGCTTTGTCTGCAGCAATTGTGCAGGGAAGGTGAGCATCATGGAATGCCAGGCTAATAGAACAAAGTGTTCTTGAATTGAGGGAGTAGTTGAGTGGAGGTCCAATGTGCATCTGCTATCTTAATACTAAACCTATACATATATGCACATAGATCTATTTCCCCATCATCATATGTAAATATATTTGCATATATACGTGCCTATACTTAGACCTCTATAAATGCCCTTTGCCTCCTAGTTCTTTCCTCTATTTCCTTTGACTTTCCTCTTTTCCCACTGTCATGCTCAGCCTTCATTTGGGTTTCAGTAATTCCTCTCGGTTACATTGCCCTTGATTAATCCCTACCAGGACTCTTACACCATCCTCATCACTGATTTTGGATCACTTGTTCCGTTATCCATGAGTTTGTTAACACACACTTCCTTTTCCCTACCTCCCCCTCTCCCATGTACACCCTGGAACCGTTGGTCCCGTTGTTTTCTCCTCCAGATTGTTTATCCAGCCTACCTTATCTAGATAGACCTGCAGAGATAATAATATGTACAAAAACAAGACAGAGGAAAACAAAGCAACAAAAGAAAACAGCAACAACAAAAAACCAATGACAAAAAAAGGTGCAGTGTAGCAATGATGAAACATACAACTTTCCTCTAGTTCTTAAATGCTTCCTCCCCCCAACTATCATGATCCCAATTCTACCTTATAAATTTGGCTAGACAGAGGATGCACACTGGTACACACAGGAACTGGAAACACAGGGAATCCAGGACAGATGAACCCCTCAGGACCAGTGGTGAGAGTGGCAATACCAGGAAGGTGGGGTGGAAAGGAGGAACTGATTACAAGGATCTATATATAACCTCCTCTCTGGAGGACGGACAACAGAAAAGTGGGTGAAGGGTGATGTCAGACAGTGTAAGATATGACAAAATAATAATAACTGATAAATTATCTCGGATTTAAGGGGGGGGGCAGGGAGGGAAGGGAAAAAATGAATTGATGCCAAGGGGTCAAGTAGAAAGCAAATGTTTTTAGAGTGATGATGGCAACAAATGTGCTTGACACGATGTACGTATGGATTGTGATAAGTGTTGTATGAGCCTCCAATAAAATTATTTAAAAAAAAAAAAAAAAGCCTGTAAATAGTTCCAGGTCTGTTTGTTGACCTTTAGGAGTGTCTTCTGGTCGAGTCTGATGGGGTGTCACGCCCTGGCCCCAAAGTCTATTTTTGGTATTCCCTTGGGACTTCCTTGCTCTGCTCCCTTTGCTGTTCTGTTGCACGCCCTTAGTTTTTGCCTCAGTGTGGTTGAGTGAGATCAGGCGCAGTTCGCACACTGTGTCTCCGGTGTTGTCTTAACGAATGAAAGGATGAAAGAAAATGTAACTAAGCATGGGCAAAGGAAGGCGATCTGAGATGCCGTGTGTCATCATATGCAGTTTTTGTGCAGACTTGCTGGAAGGAGCACAAGAGGAAGCACCCAGATCATTGCATCAACTTGTCCGTTTTCTAAGAGGCTCAGAGAGGTGGAAGACCACGTCTGCTACAAAGAAAGGGAAATGTAAAGACATGACAAAGGCAGACAAGGCCTGTTATGAATGAGAAGGGAAAATGTATATCCCTCCTAAAGGGGCGGGAAGAAAAGATGGTTCAAGGACCACAGTGCACCCAGGAGGCCCCCTTCAACCTTTTTCTTGATGATTATTGCCTGGAAAACAAAGACAAACATATGAACCTGTCCATTGTGATGTTGTGAAGAACCTGGGATGTATGTGGAGTTAATACAGGAGAAGGCGGCTGCCCAGCTGAAGGAGTAATACAACGAGGATAATGCTGCATAACGGCTAAAGTGAAGCCTTGGGCCACCAAAAAATCATCTTTATGCTCAGACTCACTTCTTGCCCTACTTGAATAAAAATCACCTGCTTATAGTTTCTTTCCTGTTATTTAGCTTGCACATTCTTTCACATTGTGTAATTTTAACGCCTGGTTTGTTTCTCAGAAACTCCCTGTAGACTGTCTTTTGCGGGGCACCTGTTTTGATGAAAACTTGCCTTTTCCCAGTGGCTACAGCTCCAATGACTACCCTCCCTAAGGCGCCTCCTGCATAACCAAGCCTTGTTGCCGTCGTGTCCATTCCAACTCACAGTGACCCTATAGAACAGGAGGACTGCCCCATAGGGCTTCCAAGATTGTACTAGTTACAGAAGGACTCTCACCCTTCTGCCGAGGAGCAGCTGGGCAGCAGCTAAGTGATGAAACACTGTGCCACCAGGATTCCTTCCGGAGTATATATTATAATGTACTCATTCACATAGCTTCTTATTGCCAAACTATGTTGCAGTTCTGTGCGCAGCTAGCTGCACTTAAAAGTTTATATTATCTAGTTCTTTTTTTTTCATTATCTTTGTCTACAACTTCTTTATTATATAATCCAATTTACTCATTTATGAAAACTTACATAAAGCCTATATAAACTTTTTAAAGGAAGTGAATGATTCCTTCTCATCTTAAAGTATTCATTATATATACATACAGATGTATATTTTAAGTCATTTTCTTGGGGGCTCTTACACCTCTTATCACCATCCATCCATCCATTGTGTCACGCACATTTGTACATATGTTGCCATCATCATTTTCAAAACATTTTCTTTCTACTTGACCCTTGATATCAGCTCCTCATCCCCCCCTCCCCAACCCTTCCTCCTCCTTGATAATTTATAATTTTTCCCCCATGTCTTACACCAACTGCTGTATTCTTTCACCCATTTTTCTGTTGTCCATCCGCCTAGGAAGGGTTATACGTAGATCATTGTGATCAGTTCCCCCTTTCTCTCCCTACCTTCCCTTCCTGGTATTACCTAGTTCTTCCTGCTTCCCTGCACCCATCGATTTTAGACAGGGAGAGACCAGTATGTGTACCTTAGGTGATTTGTCTTAAAGCCCCACTCGCAAATCACCAAAGTCGGAATTAGCACGTTGTCTTTGTGAGCTATGTCACGCCAGTTGACTGTGCCCCTCAAGACTGTGATCCTGATAACCTGGGCCCAGCTACCCACTTCCTTAAGATGTTTGGTTCTGTCTGAAACGTTTTTATAGCTATACATGGCTAGATTGCAGCAAAGGTAAACACACATATACAGATATCCTCTGTTAAACCTGTATATACTTGTGGGTATACTCCCCTTCTTCCTTCCACATCTGTTTAGCCTGCCTATCAAAGCACCTGTGTGTAGAGCACCACCATGGCAGGGTGTGTATGGAAGACTATTTGCCTCAGTTGCTTTTCACTTTTATGAAGCTCTCAGTGTCTTCACCTGTCTGCATCATTTTCTCCTAAGTTCCCTCTTATTATATCTTGCCTTCCTCTTCACCCAAGCTAATACCAAGTTAATACGCTTACCCTCTAGCCTATGGCTTTCCCTCCTACTGTAACCATCAAAGAATGTTTCTTTTAGTGTTAAAACTTTAAAAAAACAACTTTTTATAATAGTGATCTCATACAATATTTGTCCTTTTGTGCTTGCTTGATTCATTTCTAAGTCAGTGGTTCTCAGCCTTCCTAGTGCCGCGACCCTTTAATACAGTTCCTCATGTTGTGGTGACTCCCAACCATAAAATTATTTTCGTTGCTACTTCATAACTGTAAGTTTGCTACTGTTATGCATCGTAATGTAAATAGCTGATATGCAGGATGTATTAAGCAACCCCTGTGAAAGGGCCGTTCAACCCCCAAAGGGGTTGGAACCCACAAGTTGAGAACTGCTACGCTAAGTATAATGTCCTCCAAGTTCATCCATGTTGTGCGGTGTTAAATAGATTCATTATTCTTTAATGTTGCATAGTATTCCATTGTGTGTATAAACCAGTTTA